TCTGCTTAACCCTCTTAAATCACCACGCACTACAAAGGGGCCGAAAGCATGTGAGAATATTGCCTATCTTACAGCATGAGATGGCTCTAATAAGCTATATAAAAGGGGATCATCTGATTATCCCTGGCACACTGGACCAAGGGGCCACAGCAGAGCGTGGGCCTATGTTGTTCTTTCTTGATGAAAGGAGGTGGATGGAAGGGATCCCTCTCCATCGCCTGCAGTCTGCCTCAGGCTTCTCTGTGCCTGCGCACCACTGGGGGACTACGCCGAGCCATCGCGCTCAAAAAGCCAATATTGAAACAATCACAAAGACAAACACTTACCCTTGAAACAGGCACGTGTCCTCTCACCCCAGGCTTTCCTCGCTATTCCCCCAGTCCTTTAGGGAAGGGAGGGTGTTTGAACCTGCTTCCGAACCAGTTGTCACATTTAAACTGACAAGAGACTGGAAAGTTTGTTCTTTGAGTTCAAATAAATTATCAAGAGACAAAGAATCCTTTTCGTTGTCTCTTGAAAAAGAGACAAAGAAAACACATTGTTGCTTTGAAATTTTACAGTCTTCTTACCTTAAACCCTTTGTCACATTACAGGAGAAAGAATTTTATGTGATAGACCAACGCAAAGTAGTTCAAAGTAGTGAAATAGAAGTTTGGCTCCTAAAATTCTACAAAAAAACATGAAGAGTGACATGTTTTTATATAGACAAAAACATGACTGTACAAAAAGACGAATATGCCCCATGTGTTTATTCAGGAACTGAGTCAGTTTTACAAAGTTTTGACTAAGGGAGTTAGAAAACCACCCAATCCCAAGTTTGGACCAACTTCCCTGATTCACATGAAGAAAAGCATCTTTATTGTGAAGTCTATCACATTGACTTTATGTCAGTTTATAAACTTCCATGGTCAGCTGCATTTTGATAGAGTCTGGCAAAAGGAAGAGCTAAATCGACCTGAGATAACTGCTAAGCAGTTTAGTTTTCAATTTAAAAAAAAAACACCTCCATTGATCACACATGTGACCTGTATGATCCATGCAACAACCACCTTCTGCTGAACTCTTAGAGCACAGTTGCTGTGATACATGTGAAGATTTCTTCGGGCAAAACATTCTTACTTTCGCTGCCTCTAGCTTAGCTCAGTGGGTTTCTGAGATCAGTCAAGGACGGCAAGGCTTTGGTATGGGGGATTAAGGCCCTGGCAGCAAGATATGGGCTAGATCTATTAAGGAGCTAATTTGTGCTGATAGGCAGGCAGCCATCACAGCTTGAACAAACTTAAAGTACCCATTCTAGCCCTATCAATGACCTACTGTGTCAGTGATATGGTAAAACCCCAAAACTGACATATCTTCAGTTTCTTAAGTACTTTCCTTTTACTTTCATCTAACTCCCCTCCTTTCATTTAAAAGTCTCTGGGGTCTCAGTGCAGCAGCAACAACGTCCATGTCATGCTAGGCTTGGCAAATATGGAAAAAGGAGGAAAGACTTTAAAGACGAAGATCTCCACGGAGGAAGAATAGATGCTTCGCCAGCAAATGGGTTCTCTGTCGCTAAACGACCACTGGCCGGCTAATCGGGGCACAATGTAAACAGATGTCAGCACTGTGCATTGCATTCATGCTTCCCAACAATTAAGATTTTAAGAAAGACTTTTTTTCTCATTAATCCTAATCTCAGTCCTCTTCTCCTTATCCCACAGCAAAGCTGTATGTATTAGCGTTGTGGTAAGAAGGATAGAACTCTGATCCAGTGTTTGCCCAAGAAAAGCAGCTAAGACTCAGGCATCGCCACGATTAGCTATTGCTAACAATAGAAGTAATGTTTCCTTGGTGCCTCCTCTTCTACTCTGAAGTGGGTGTAAGGAACCAGAGTAAACACAGTCTTAGGCCGAAGACATAAGAGGAAAAGGAGAATGCAAGTCTGGGTGAATAGCAGAGATTTCCCCCCGAGGATAAACCCCTCTCCTTTAGCTCTCTTCTCGTTTCTCAAATCCCACACCTCCCAGAGCTTCACCGCCACGTTAACGACCCAGCGGCCAGGTGTGGCAGGGCTGCAGGTGCCATCGCATTTAGCCACATTAAGCACTGACACACAGCAGCGCTAAGAGTAATCGGATTTACCTGGATGTCTGCTGCATGGCGTGTCGCTCCCTGCAAGCACAGCATAAAGGCTTACCGCCCCCTCTCCATCACACACGGGCACGCACACACCTGGAATGAATTTAGGAGTCGACAAAGCTCTCATAGTAAGAGTTGTCTGTGCGTGCACAAACCCAAACAGTGGATTTTTACAACTCGTGGTGCAGGAGTGGCGACAGATGCTGCAGGTCTGTGGTTCAAAGTACATGAATACGGTGAGGAAGGGGCTGGGGGATTGCAAAGGTTTAAGGGGAGCCCTTTCCTTCTGCTGACCCTAAATATGGCAAAACCCCTGGAGACCAGGATGTGGTACTGGGTTCAATCAGACAGAATGAGACCGCCTTGGGATACCCACTCATGTCCTCAACACCTGAGGCCAGAAGGAGGTGTTTTACGCAGCAATGCTCTCATCTCAGATCATAAGTCTACCTTAGCACAGGAGACATCATAGGAGCATCAATGAAAAACACCAGAAGCCATTCAGACTTTGTGGTTTTAAAGGTAAAATGCAGGGTTATTTTTAATTACAACATATTGCTTAATGGGATTATTTGTACTTTTGAGGTTAAGACAGTTGATGTATTTTTCAGTTTTTACGGAAAGCACTTTAAGGAAGACACAGTACTGATCTCAAGCCACATTGAATCCTTTTTTAAAGTAGAGAAAACTCTGGGTGGATCATTTTTATATAGTTTCATGTACATTTCTGAACCAGCTTTTGTAAACAAACCTAAATATCCTGGGATGGGATGGTGAAATACACTTCACTACAAATAACTGGTGTTTATTCTACGAGCTGTTCCACACTTACATAACGCCAGATGACAAACTTCAAAATGTATTTGCTTCTTTTGACTCATTTATTTTAAAAAAAATTTATTGTGTGATTGATTGCCATTATTATAAATATTCTTCCCAGAATCATTAATTTAATCTGAAATTGGTGCGACTCTTTATTTTCCTTTCCTCTGAAACGTACCACTCCATTTTTCTGGAGAAAGATAATGATGAAATCTTTGTGCATAATTGTTATTTTTACCCAAAGAAGGTACAACATACTCAGTGATTCTCCTGCAAAATCTTTTTTTATATCTTTTTCATCAACAGAAAGTGATTCCCCTTCACTGGAAGGAGCCAGTGACGGAAAAGGTGAAAAGTCAAAGGAGAAGGTCACATTAACTCTGTTTCCCCAATTACTCTTTGTTTTTACCCATAAAAAGTACTGGTTATGAATTTGACCATTTCTCTTGTAAAGTGACTTGAGATGACATTTGTTGTCAGCTGTTGTTTAAAAAAGCATTGAACTGAGCTGAATTAGTCTAAAACCAGAACTTCAAATATGTAAAATGAGCCTAAGATAAGACTCTAACTCAGAAACTGCACTCAACCTGCAGTTTCCATGTTTTCATGGTAGCTGCATGACGTGTGGTAAACCACCTGGTTCTGAAGAACGTACATCACTTGAATCAAGATGAAATTGGCAATTGAGGTAGCTCAAAACGATCAAATGATTTAAAGAAAAGTGGACATGAGGGAAAGTGAGAAGATTCTAGTATTTAACTTTGGACGAATATGATAAAACACCTCACATTTTGGCTGTAGAGGAAGAATATGTGCAGAACACCAAAAGCTTCTTAGAATGCAACTTGATGCTGTGCCCTGCTTCGTCAAGCCCCTCACATTCGGTCACAAAGAAATTCTCTTGAAGCTTCACGGCCCCTTTGACTTTTCATGCTGCTTTTGAACTCTCCATTTCAGGCTGTGACTTTTCCGCATGACCCCAAGCCTCGGAGTGACCTCCACACCCCCTCCTCTTTACTCCACCGCCGCCGTCTCCCTCTATGCGCCTGCAGCGGTCTGGAACCACCAGAGCTCCTTCACACATACCCACACACGTTCATAAAATGAGAAGTGGCAGTGTTGCTGAGTTAGGTCAGGATGTAATGTGCAGTAATGTTCTGCCCTCGAGGCTCCTGTCCAAAGCACCATCGCCTGGTTTTAAGTAACCTTTCCCTTAAAGAGGCACCTTGGTGGTTCTATTCTCAGGCACCCAACCACAAGAGAGTACAGGCTAATGAAGTGGTTAAATAAATAGAGTTCTGTTGGAGTCTGGAGTTCGGTGGAGTTTTTCATTAATGTCAACGCTTTAAAATTCTCCTGTCCAACTCTGTCTGACCCAATTTGAGGGCAAAATAACCAAACTTAACGAGTAATCACATCAAATCTTTGTCTTACGGCTACAATGGCTGCCAATTTAACCTCCTAATCAGACTCTTAAAACATATACCCCCACTACCTTTTCTTCAAATGTGCACACACAGCCTTGCTTTTATCTAACGACAACTGTTTACCTCACCTTTGCTTCAAATTATCTCCACCATCTCAATTGGACTAAAGCTCTCCCCTCACATCCCTACTCCAGGGCTTCGTCTCCTTCCCTTTCTCTTACACAGCCTCTGAGAGACTCCCAGAGAGAGAGAACAAGCCAGAGTAGGGGGGTACTGAGGTTTGACTCGGCACTGCTTTTGGGCTTTGAAGTGTGCATTGATGAGAGAAAGTGGAGTACTGTGTTCAGACAGGCCCCTAATGAGGGAATTAAGAAGCTACGCCGGCCTGTTCCCCATACTAACTTCCCAGGCACCAAACATTGCAAGAGAGCGTGCATGTGATCGCAAGTGTGTGTCTGTGCAAATCTAAGAGAAGGGCTAATCTGTCAGACTTAATCAAGCGTTTAACAGTCGTGCCTTTCACCTACAGTAAGAAAGCAAAGCTAGCCTCAGCATTTAGAACGGTACAAACACGCCCTTGAGCTGTAAAGTTTCCTAAGTTCCCAACTTTTGGAAAGCCTGTGGACTTACGGTAGTGTGAGTCTAGGTAGCCGTTGCGGGGGTCCATGGCAAACAGCGTGCCCCTGTATGGCAGAGCATGGTCAGACAGATGGGGCAGGGAGCCGTGAAGCTCCTTCTTGAGCAGGGACGGGCGTTCCTCTGTGGAGGTGGAGGGTTCCTCATTCACGGTTCTGTCGAGGGTGCCGGGCGCCTGGGCCTGGGAGCTAATGGCATTGCGTCTCTCACGGTGATACGGCGTCCCCGAACTCTCATCTTCTGCCAGAATAAAGAAACACAAGGGGAAAGGGAGAAAAGTGATGTTTCAGGTAACTCTCACTATGTCTGGACAGCATGGTAAGAGACAGATAATCTGTGAAAAATATGCATGTCAAGGTTAGCCGATCAAATTTACGAGCTGAGCAGGCTCAAACTTGAAAATTTTACAAATGGAAAAGGTGCCTACTGAAAGGATAAATGAGCTATTTTTAGAAGCAGACTTTAAAAGAAGAGGAAGGCATTTTAAGCTGTATGAGCATCCCCCTAACCATCAGTTCTTAACAGAATGCTTTTTGTTTAAAGAGAGAAAAAAAGAGAGACATGGGGTCTTTGTACGATCCTCAGCATGCCATGTAATCGGGATAAAGGTGAAGCTGAGCTCAGAGCCTCAACTCCCCCGAAAAGACATGATCTTTGACCCCTGGCATGGCCTCTGAACTGATGTGTACAAAGATCAGCTAACCTTCTGGTATTAGCATCAGTCCTTTCTGTAGTTTCATACTTTCTCTAAAAGTGCCGTGGCATGTTTGGGACTCTTTATTATTTAAATTTAAATTAGACACATTTACAAGGAGCAGTTTGGAAAAGCAAATTAACTCTGATAATTATCTTTTTTAGAAAGATATAAATAGTCATCGTTCAAGAATTCTCACAAGCAGTTGCACTTATAAGGACTTCAACGCTGTTGCTTCTACAACACTCCAACATTAGTGAGGCTCATCTGCAAAATGGCTGAAGATAAAATCCAAGAAAACAAAACTGCTTGACACAATCTTAGTTTGTGTTTGCAAAGCAGCCAATGCATTTATTTTCTTTGGAACTGATTGGATCTGGTCCAAAGAACAGACTGTAGTCGTTAACTTCTACCTCAGTCCTAAGAAAGTTTCCATTATAAAAAAACCTAAGTTAAAAAAGACAGTTTCCACTGTGCATATTAATGCAGATTAAGATATATTAATACTTGATTAATATATCTTAAAATAGCAGTTTTAGAGTTTTAAGAAGGGATCTCAATCGTCTGCAGATTTCAGCTACTTGCTGTGGACTGTAATTTCCAAACATCGTAAACACCAGGGGTACAATGTCTACAAAATATTACTGACAATTGATTATTTTTATGATTAGTAGATTAGTTTGTTCAAAAACAAACTAACCTGCCTTAGAATTTGAAAATCAAGATCTGTTTAAAACTGGAAATAATTGCAGGAATGAAATAACAATAACATGAAAAGTAGTAAAGCCTTTTAACTTTACTCATATCCCTAAGCAACATTTACTAGCTTCCAGTAAATCCCCCACATGTTCAGTCCTTGTTTTAAGCTAAAGTGAGTTCATCATTAAGGATGCTGGTCATCAATGTGCTCCAGCTTTCCTTTTCCAACATTAATGTCCCTCACTGAGAACCTGGCAAAATGCCCCTTCACTGGCGCCAGAGGTTCTGTAGTATTAGCAGCCTTCCCCCACAATCCGCTGCAACATAACAGCAATCCAACTGCCAATTAGAAACAGGGCAGAGGGCCAGATGAAAGAGCGCCACCTTAAGCACTGCAGAGAGTTGCCACTTCACAGGAAAAAAGAGAAGCAATCAGAAAGGAGTCGAGAATGAGATTGAAAGAGGCAATGAGAGAGCAGGAGGAGCAGCTCGAGGGGTCCCGCTTTTTATTCCCCTCACTCTCCCACATCCATTACCTGCATCCGGGGCCAGCCGTGCCCTGGCGCAGCCCTGGCAGCAGATTCAAGGATTCCTAATGCGGAACTGACAGCCGGAGAGAGGCGAGTCACTCTCATCCGCGGGAAATGACAGTGTCAGTTATGATATAAGTATTTAATCCTATACTGCACAGCCAGTGATCTTATTAAGGGGAATAATGCAACTTATACGGTTAAAGCTGGATTAATAGGTCTGCGCTTGCAAAGCGCAATATTAACATAAAGGGATTTTGAAATTGGGTTCATCTCCTGACATGGATTGAGGAAGTCGGGACTGTAGCCTGTGCAGGAGAGGGGAGACCGTGCATGTAGCTGTGTGCAGCGCGGCTCCTGCTGTGTACTCCCAGCACTTCCATATGAAGAAAGTCTACAATTCCAGCTGCAAAAGTAGACTGGCTACATATTTATGAGCTGGGTTTTTCCTTTTATCATATTTTAATATAATTTTTTTATATAAATAGACTCATCAGAGTGTGTTTGTGAGCTACAGGAGTTACAGTTTGACTGCTTGGTTAAAAGAAAGGCTTTCTAGGTTGTTACTCGCAACTTTCTTGTTCTTCAGCCGTGACCCCCACCGCTATTCAAACATAACAAGTGAGGTCAAGCGGCAAACGGTTCAATCACAGCACTGTCACACTCCGACCTCCATCCCCCCGAGGAGGAGGGTTCATCATTCCACCATATACCACCTTCAGGGGCTTCATTACAGCAGTTCATAGAACCTTAAATGGTTAAACAAACACTCTGCAGCACAAGGGGCAATTAACTCCTTGACGTCTTGGTGGAACAGACCTGCTCTCGTTCACAGATTTCTCTTGTGTGCTGCTTCTGACTGCTCAAGGAAACCTTTTGTACCAGTGTAACATGTCGAGAATCTGTAAAAAGAATATGTCATCATCCTCAAAAATCAAACCTTTGTTCAATCAGTGAACGCAAAACACAGCCTTCAATATAGAGATTGTTTCTACTGCGGGAGGAAAACCACGTTTTTACTGTCAGTGTGATGTTTAAAAAGAAACCAAGACGAAGAACAAAGCTGTACAAACAGTTTTGCAGAAGGAAACTGTTTAATCTACTGAGGCAAGTAGGCTCTTCATTTAGAGTGCTACAAAATACCATCAATTTACTCCTTCCCAATTCCATACGTTAGCAGCTGTAATTGCTTATTTTCAGCAGAACAAAAGGAGTCATCTGCCACAGAATGTGAACTCATACCTGACTTAGAGATGAATTGTTGAATTGGTGAGAGTGAACTGACCTGAAGCCAACCTCAGTAGATAATAGGAAACACTGAACATATTCAAGCAAAGCTGCTCTGCTTCCAACTTATGAGCCGTAAACTTTTAATTGATAACTGACCCCGTGCCAATAGAAATGAAGACCACAAGTCTAAAAGTTCCACAAATTAAAACTCATTTCGATAAATGACCACAATCAGTGTGAGTCGAGACTTATTTTGTGTTCAATACCTGACAGCCGTCCACCACTTGCTGACCTCTGTTGTAGAGAAATATGATTTTTACTGTTAGCAAAGGGCACTAAATATGCTACTTGCCACTACAGGATCCTATAAATGGTTTTATGGTCACTGATTGCATGATGGCTATTATGAGAGTTGTTAATGAATCTTAAAAATATCTTGAAGTTTGCTAAAACTGGAATCGGCAAGAAAAAGTTTTATAAAAACCAGGGATTGGATATCAACCACGTATCTTTTATCAGCACATCTGATGAAGAAAGCAGACGTAAACGTGTAAAATTTTTATAAAGTTAAAGTTAAACTATGCAATCTTTTTCTAACTTCTGACCATCTGCCCAACAGATCCTTCCCCTTTTCCCTTCATTCATTTTAGATTCTTCTTTTATTTCCTCTCTGTTTTCCCATGGTTACTGCATCCAGTCCTCTACCAGTTTGCAGGTCTATTCAGTACATAACACAAAAGCAGCAAGCCAGTCCTCTGTGGACCAGAGGAAAGCATGCCTTAAAAAAAATACTGAAAAAAAAGAACTATCCCGCTCTCTCTCTCTATGGTGATTGAATTTCTTAACATCTTTTCAAAAAGCGCTTAAATGCCTGGAGGCGAGAGGAAGAAACAAGCTAATGGTGGATGGGGAGCACTGAACAAATTTCAGAGCCCTTTCCTGCTCGCGTTTGAGGTTGAAAGCGAGCTCTTGCCTTTCAAGTTTCAAAGTCCTCCTTCCTCCCGCAGTGTCACTGAAGGATTTGAAAAGAAGGTAATTGTGCTCACTGCCGTCCTGATCAGAGCACACGCCCCAGCTCTAGTATTTCAGCAGCTTTCTTTGCCACTATAATGGTACCTTGTACTTCATTCCTGTATTCTTTCTCCCTTACGATTCTTTCTCCTTTCCCTCTAACGCTCCACACATGCACTCTCTGTTGCTCTCGCTCACTTGGTTTCTATCTCTCTTTCACCCCCAGCAGGCCACTCATTAAACCCTAAAACCCAGGTTTCTCCACTCCCCCACCCATTCTGCAGTCTCTATTGTAAGATTCTGTTTCAAATACCTTTCGAGAAAACTCAATGTATTGCCTCTAATGGGGGGGAGTATGAAAGAGTGTGTGGGTGCAATGACAAAATGAAATTTTGAAAGAGATAATGAGATATGGAGTGGGGCCAATGCCTCAAAGAGTTGGGCTCCAGGATAAGAGGGGCTAAAGTTAAGAGTTTCCAGCCAATTTAGACAAATCAAAAGTGAAACCAAACCCCATCCCCGTTGTTTTGAAGGAATCTTCTAGAGGCAAAGGTTAAGAAGAAGGATTGTTTCTAAACATCCTCCACATGACAATCTGTCCTTAACTCTCCAGCCTCCGCCTTGCCTTCCAGTCTAGGACTTTAATTTTTCAAGGGTTTACAAAAGGGCCATTGCATCTTACAATCTCCCCAAAACCCTTTCTCAGGGACAAAACCAGACAAAAACAGAGTTTCACCTTCTGTCTTTTGAAAGTACTATGCCACAAACTGGTTTTGGCTAAGGGAGCTCATTGGGAATCGATCAAAAGTGAAACAAACCCTCAACTTTGTTGTTTTGAAGGAATTGTCCACAGACACAGAATAAAAAGAAGAACTTCTCTTCCACATCTTCCATGTGATAGTCTATCCTTAACTCTAAAGTATCCCACCAATGTCTAAAACTTTTATTTTTCAGAGGACTACAAGGGGCCACTGCAAGCTACAGTCACTCCAAGCGTCTTTCTCTGGGACAAAGAGACATAATCGGAGTTCCACCTTCTAACTTCTGAAAACATGTTTTGGCTAAAGGATCACATG